TTTTAACAGGTTGTTTCAATCACAATGATGCAATGTTGCATTCATTAACTTAAGATTAAGGAAGAATGATCACCAGTTGCGAGTTCGTTAATATAGTGGATTTGTCTTGTTCTGGCCATCCACTACATCAAAAGTAGTAAATGAACAAAGTTATCTTTGTGAGTAGAACATGGCTAGTTAATCTTACCTTCTCCTCTGTTTATAAGGTGATTTTGGCATCTCAGCTGTAGGTACCATCTGTTCACCAGGCCTTACCCACAAAATAGGCCCATCATTACTACGATTCCTTGGTATGTTACATATTGACAAGTTACTCCATGGCACTGTTCTTTTAATAAATGGATTCTGTTCAAGTATGTCGAGAAATTCAGGATAATACCCCCCAACTTCTTCACTGACTGTTCCAACTAAACTAACTTGCAGCATGGGTCCTGAGCGATAAGTGCCATTGCTGTATGTCCTATGAACCTCTTTGTGAAACTCTTCCATTGTGGTTGATATGAGGTCTGACTTCTTACCAATGAGTTCAGTTTTCACTTTGATATTGGGGTAGTGATAAGTAAAATGTTCTACCAAGTCTGGCAGGTATGCAGCTGATCCATGCACAATGCTCATAACAAAACGGGACACTCCAGGCGACACTTCGGAGAACGATAACCTGACAAACTCATCAGCAAACTCCTCAAGTTCCTCATACTGTAAATGTGCAATTTCCTCAGAATATGCATGCAACACAAGTGCTCCACCATTTGAGTCTTTCACAATGTGCATATACTTTGAGAATTTAGAATCATCTTGAATGTGAAGATTCTCTGATTTAGTTTCTTGTAGCATGTGCAAGTTATCACATCTTTTGGAATCTACAATGGTAGTAGCTGAACATGATACAGTCTGGGTTTCCTGGTGGCGAACGTCTTTCTTCCTACTTCTATGTTTCTTCAACCGAGGCTTGGGTTCTTTCACTTTCTTTATGATTATTTGAGGTGCTAAATATCCATTGTTGTTTAGGACAGGTTCATTTTCTTTTGGTTCTGGATCACCTAAAACAAATTACAAACAAATTTGCTATATGTACATAATTTATGTATACTATTGAAGTCAAGGTTCTCTCCAAAAAATTGTCTCATACTAGCAGCTAATTTGCATATTAATCTGCATACTAACGAAAATATAACTTTTTACCAAAAATTACAAAAAATTAGAGAATTGAAGATATCATCATGAAATGAACAAATCTAGGAGAGGTCTACCCAAGGTACATATACACTAAGTATCAAAGTAAAAAGTTGACACGGACGACGGACAATCAGTCATATGATAAGCTCTGCCCGACAAAGTCAAAAACTACCCTTTTTCGTCTATATAATCATTCCAGTAAACCATGTGTCACAGAGCTCGTCACAGGATACCATTTTTTTGGAAAAAACATGTTGTCATTTCATTTGCTTAGGACAACTTTGACGTCACTATGGGCCGTTTTTGTTTGGGGTCAGCTATGGCTACACAAATGAGAATGCCAAATCCACACGTACCATTCTATTTATTTTCAGACACAACATTAGTGAAACAATCAAAACAAAAACATTGATAAGTTTTGTAGGAAACACATGCCAATCTTTGTTCGAATGTAACTGTATTTATTGCAGGGCTAAAAACCAAATTACTATTATGTGAAGAATATCTTTGAATAAAACTCATTACTGGTACTTCATAGCACCCGATTGCAGGATTGTTTTCGTGCCATGTGTACACTATATAGTAATCAGAACTGCCGGCCCCGGGCAAGCGCTACCTAACACATTCTATCAAAGTGGAATAGTTTTCTCAAAGAATTTGAGAAAATCACACTGTATTCACTTTGGGTTACATTGGTACAGAAATAATGAAATGCAAAATTTTTCCATAAGAGCAGGGTTTTGGGGATAGAAAATTTACTTATCTCTTGTTGTACTGACCTGAGTAAATCGCTATCGCTACAAAATTATTATTACTACTGTACACTGTATTACTATCTGTTGCCAAATTATTTTCAAGTATGCCAAAGGAAACAAAACCGAGTGCCAGTCGCCGACGTGCAGCCTATGACGTATTTTTCAAGTTGAAGGTTGTTTCAACTGCTTTCGAGCGGGGTAACAGAAAGACTGCTGAGCATTATGGTTCGTGATTGGATCAAGGAAAAAGACAAACTTGCAGTGAGATTAAATCGGCTAAACATCTAGCAGGCGGAGGTCAGTCTGTCACTGACAAGAAGCAGACAGCACTTTATGGCAATAGTTTGAAAACTAGTCAAAAATGGCAATGGAGTCACCGGGAAGCAGCTACAACGCCAGAAACTTCAAGGCATCGGATGGCTGGTTAAGAGGTTTTAAACATCGCCAAAGTTACTGCCAGATTATGAAATTAAATTACGATATTTCATCGCATCCGACATCAACAGCAACACAAGTTCCCACTATCTGACATATTCAATATGGACGAAACACCACTACACTTCGATATGCCTGGAAATCGCACCCTAGTACATAAAGGTTCCCAGACTATACATGTACATTTAAAAACAACAGCAAATGAGAAAAAGGGTTTCACAGTAGTGTTGAACGCTGCAGGTACCAAGCTTAAACTGGAAAGGAAAGTGTGATCAGTCTCACTTGTCAACTGGAAGTGTTCAAGTACATCCTAAGGGATATATTGATGAAGCAGGTAAGTTTTTTTTGCTCATTACATTACGTTATTCATTGGGAAATCTGGGTAGAATGACTGAATGTTTCAGTTACTGTTTCAAGATCTCCAACATGTACTCTTTCGGCACTGCTTGATTGGGGTGCCATGTGACGTATTGTAAATGTAAATTAGGTCATCTGCATGAACCACATGCCTTTTTTCTGAGTTCACAACATACATGTATTTTTTTTCCGTTTATTTCCAGGTTGTCTCGACTACATATGACACACATTTCAACACTGCGACGACAAGAGTAGAAGGCAGCTAATATGGGACTGATGCTCGGCCCAGCTGACGGCAAAAGTAAAGTTTGCACTTACAGAAAGAAACGTCGACACAGCAATTCGAGGCGGCCTTATGTCACTCCTTCAGCCTCTTGACGTTGGAATGAATCGACCAGTAAAAGACAGCATGTACAACTTATGGGATTTGTGGATGAAGGATGGACATGCCGAATTAACAGCCTGGCATTTCCAACAATTTGAACGGACCAGAAGATGACATGATTTAAGACAACCTGAAGATTGACGATGAAGAGGACTTTGAAGAAATTGGTGAGAAAATCGCTAATTTGTTTCACAGTTACAGTGACGACGATGAATACATGTAGTATGAAGAAACCAGACGAAACCAACAGCCTTTTTCAGGGCACTATTTAAGATGAACTCCCACTAATGGCCCTTTTCTGGGCCAACACATATTCCAAAACAAAATATACCGTAAACCACTGTGTCTATTTATGTTTGTATTTATTGTTTTTGTATTCTGTTGTCTTGTAACTTGTTTTGCAACATAAAATTACTCTGGGAAAGTGACCACACCTATTTGATGTTTTCCATATGTACACAATATAAAAGGCACCCCAAACTTTTGTTTTTCACAACTATTTGCAAGTTGATACATTGTAATATAAACCACGGTTTATATTAGGACTTTAACAATAATTTAAAAGTGATGATAGATTCATTGATAGTGAATTAATTTTATCATTGCTTCCAAGCAGTCTGGGGTGGCTGAACTTGACATGTGTTAATTCCAGTATAGTGCATTGAAATATTTGCTTTCTGCTTTTGAAAGCAACAGAAACCAAGCTTCACACTTCCTCTCAATCTGCTAGTAAGTGCCAATTCAGTTTTTTTTGTTTCGTTTAGCATGTTAACTAATGAACACCAGAAACAGTAAATGTGCCTAACAGATTGACAATAAACTTAAAAGATAAGTCAAGGTGGGATTTCTTCAGAGTTGTGGGCAAGCTGTCAGAGTATTGTCGTAAATCTTGGAGTAGTGGCCCTGCTCCGCTAAAACGCTTTCAGCAGAACACTAAATTCAGTACAGACATACATGTATTATGAATAAAAGTTTCAAACTCGCAAGCAAAACAAAGCACTTTGTCACTGTAAGTAGACACACTTCAGTATATGCCACAGCCAAGGTACATCCAGCTGGGCAGTTGTCATTGTTTACAGCTATTCTGCCTAAGCAAGAATAACGAACATGCAAATTATCTTTGGCTATAGCATAATATTTTCATAATTTTTGTGTGTATTTTGAGAGTTGTCACGGTCATATTTACTCTGTGAAACACACGTGTACCGTCTCCATTTCAGTCGATTTTCCCTGAAAAATCCACGTTTCTCAGCTGTCTTAAATAGTTCTTCTAGCTGCCCTCGTTTGTACCCACTCACATTCACTCCTTTATCTTTAAAAAACTGTTTAAAATATGCTGCTGACTTCTATCGGATTGACTTTTTTTACTTTTTATATTTTTGTCCTACCCTCGCCCATTACTATGTAGATTACGCATGCGCAAATAGAATTACAGTACATCTGACAATAATTCGGGAATCGCCAGGCATTGCTTGCTACATATTAAATGAGATAGAAAAATTTGCCAATTTATGCCAGTAAATTACAAAAATCTGTCAAATTATTACTCAGTTAAATTTTAAGAAGAAGCAAAATGTTCTTACATGAAGATCTTATAAAATTCAGGTACCGTAATATCTTGATTAATTCGCGCACCCATTTTATTTTCGAACACTAATTTTTAAATGTACCCTTTTAATTCGCGGCGTTCAAAAACATGTTTAAAATTGTATCCTATTAATTCGTCGACCAGAATAAAGTGGATAACTCAGAATATATTGCATGAAGACATTAAAAATATACATTTTGTTAGAGTTTTTATGTTATCAGTACTTGGTGCAGCCGCAATCGCAGACGATCTCCGTTATCACAGCCTTTCAGTTAGCAAGCAGTTTAGGTTCGGTCATTCGCCCACGACACAACAGATGTTGGGCAAGATTATTACTTAGTCGATAAATATCCATCAGTCAGCACATCGATTACGAATTTCCGCGATGGAAAGCTTAGTACAGGGCTTTTCGTCGCTGGTCCACAGGGTTGCATCAACCATGTGTCCGACATTTTGGAAAGTGATTTTATTCTTTTACGTCATTTAAGTGAACCGCCCTATGGTGCGTAAATTGATGTTTTTGATTGGTCAGGCGATTGACCTTGTGTCACATTTTCATTAGTGCTCGACAAAAAAAAAATCATATAAACAATGAACACATGGCCACCTTATCCGAAGCAACACTGAAATAGCAGAAATCACTGATGATCTGCTTTTAGGCGACGACGACGGCAAAGATGGTGATATTGGTTTGATGGCTTCACTGCCGACAACCTGTCGAACCTGTTGTGTCTGACGGTACTGCCTAGCAAAATATAAAAAAGGTAGTGCAGCCATGCGGCTACTTTGTAGCCACGTGTTTGTTTGTGTACAGAGTGACCTTTGCTATTTCACTGTTCCATTTCAAGTGTAACAAAGTACGTGGTTCTCGACGCAGTGCGTGTTCTCTGCCCAACTATACGCCATGAATGTTGCTAGCCACGAGCCTCAAAGGCACTAAAACAACGTCCTGTAATCGTGTTCATTGAAAAACAAAACAAATCACTAATAAATTTATAGAAACAGCTCTTTTTTGAATCGATCTAAAGTACTCTTTTAATTCGGGCACCAAAAACCAAAAATTTTCGTTTTCATGCTATTAATTAGCGCACTTGAAAAAATAATTATTTTTACTACCGCAAATTCATCGAGTTTTTACGATAGTTCTAGTATTGTTTCAGGTAAACAAATTGCCAAGTAAATTCTGTAACATCCACAATATATGTAATATTATATATTTCAAGCTATATATTCTATCAAAGGAAGCAAGACTTGGGTATCTATTTAACTTCTAACCTGTCATACAAATTAACAATCATATCAATTCCATTGCTTCTAGGGCCTTAAAATTAAACCTGACTGTGGATAAGTCAACTGCAGGAAGCATTTGTCACTTTTAAGGTGTATGACATTCTTTAATAACATTTCATTTAAATCTAATATTGATATTTTTTCATCTCTAGTTTAAATCTGTACTGTATAATTATTTTTAATTTTATTTTGTTACTTTGTCATTTTGATGTATATTTGCTTATAGCTTGTATTTGTATGCGTTTTCTTTATGTATTGTTCATTTTTTTCCAGTTCTGTTAATAGGTTTGCCTGTTGAATTGTGTATTGAATAAATAAATAGTCTGTACAACAACAAAAATCAAAGAAAGCTTAGAAAGAACTCCCATGTGCTGAGAGTATTGGAGACACATTAAATATAATTCGAAATTACTTAGCTGAAAACTAATTATGCAAATCAGAAAATTAATATGACCAGATTTGAGTGTAAAACTAATGAGGTCTGCGCAATGTAACAGAAAATCTATGTCTCCAAGTTTAATTGAAATGTGATTAGAACCAAAAAATTATGAATTATTATGCTTATTAGGGAATTAATATGAACAGATTTTTACCCCAAACTAATTAGG